TACGACCTTCGAAATCCCCAAATCGAGAACTTTCTCCGTTCCTTAGGGTTTTTATATTTAATTTGCTAATAATCCCAGTTTCAGTTCTCTGAAAGGAGCTCTAAAACCTCGGATCAGGTAATTTTTCTCTTTAGGTTCTCTAATTTCGGGTTAAAGATTAACGTTTTAGCATCATCTAATTGATTATAGCCTTTTTCTTACCGTGTTTTGTCTATATCGTCAAGATTTCCTTTGGTTTCTTTAATTTCTGTGCTAATTGTTCATGATTACAAATTAAGAATCGTTTTTGCTTCTATAAAGGAACAACGTTTAGCATCCAAGGTTACCCTCCCCCCTTTCTTCTGGATCTTCGTTGTTAATTTTTTAGATATTTGGATTATATTGAAAATTTTAGACTTCATATCTTAATTGATTCACACAATGTGCTACTTAGATTAATTATAAGGTTTTTGGAATGAATTGGAGCTAATTCTTTATCACTTATTCCATAATGCATAATCTAAAGCGCTTGGGAGTTTTTTTTATTTATTTAATTGGTTTGTTTTCTTTTAGGAAGTCAAATATTGATAGGGAATTCGAACCGTAGGATTTAATATTTGCCTAGTCTGGGTTATTGGCTTATTGCTAACAAGTTTGAATAATGATTGTTTTCGCGTTGGCTTATGGTTTTGATGTTACAATGATTATGTATAGTTTCAATCTACCTGTTGAGGGGCTTTTAAGGTTTTTGTTTGTTCTTTTCAACCTATTGATTGAAAAAATACTTTGGATTAGTTGCCAGCATAGAATTTAGAGGCTTCCTAATTCTCTTTTATATCAAGTCGTATCTGATGTTGGTATTGAGTTTCATGTTTAGGTCCCAGCTTGTGGTTCTTAAGCCTCCTTTGATCAACTAAGTTTCATGTCTGATCTCGACGTCCATATCCCAACCGCCTTTGGTATGCTCATATCCTAACTACCTGTGCTTTGCTATTTATCGTAATTGTTGATGTCTGTTATTAGTTTTGGGTTTAACTTGGGGTGTTCTAATAATTTGCTAGACCCCTTTGCTGATGCAAATGCTGATGACTCGGGTGCCGGTGCAAAGGAGTACGTGCACATTCGTATTCAGCAACGGAACGGCAGGAAAAGCTTGACAACCGTCCAGGGATTGAAGAAAGAATTCAGCTACAACAAGATACTCAAAGACCTCAAGAAGGAGTTTTGCTGCAATGGTACTGTGGTCCAAGACCCTGAATTAGGACAGGTATGTGTATAACTCCTTTAGATATTGTTAACATTGTTGATATCCTTTATCGGATGGTGGTTAAGTTTGTTATGTTGTTGTTTATGTGTAGGTTATTCAACTTCAAGGTGACCAGCGCAAGAATGTCTCCACCTTCTTGTTCAGGTATTGTTCTTTTGCGTCTTTTGAATACGTAGATGTCTAAAGAACCAATGCAATTTGGTGTTCGAGTTCCTAATCTTCATTGCATTTCTTTTCGATCAGGCCGGCATTGTGAAGAAGGACAACATCAAAATTCACGGTTTCTAAGTCGTTGCTACTTATAGTTTTCTTCTAATCTGCACGGGCCTTGTGTCGAAGCAGGGAACATGTCCCCCATTATAGTATGTCTATACTGCTGTGTCCTTTCTATGTTGGTTTGATAACAACTTATGCATCGCTTACTTATTGCGTGTTCAGTTCATTGGATGATTATGAAATGTATGCAAGCTTGTTTCTTTATGACTCAAATGTTAAAACTAGTGGTCTTTTTGTCATCCGATTATTTTCTCCTTTTAGTTTGGTTTTAATTTCATTTTTTTAATTAACAATTGGTATGATTTATTAATCCAGATCGAGTTTTACAAAATTCATATTGGGACGATCGTCCAACCTAGTTACTCTATTTTGCAATGGTCATGTTTAGAATTTATTTCACTAAACTAATTGGTTGTTGGTATTTATCAAAGAAGTTCAAATTTCAAATTCTTTGGATGACCCAATTATGATCTCTTTAATTTTTTAATAATGGTGTTTAATTTATTGAATAGTTTAATAACATTCTATTAATAGATGAATGTGATTATGAATTAAGTACAGAAAAACTGAAAATATAGACAAATTATTATCTTTGTTAAGTTGGAACTCTTCCAATGACTGGCTCTCACAACGGTCGAGCTTCCAATGACTGGCTCCCACAACGGTCGAGCATTACGCTTTGCTCCTAAGGGTGCGTTGGTTCACGGAATGTAAGATTACCAAGGAATATGATTACTGGGAATATTGTATTTTGTGTTGTTAAAAATTTATATATTTTCTTTAAAAATTATAACTTTAAAAATTATAAATTCATAAAATTTATATAATTTTTTTACAAAATTGAAAATATAAAAGGTTAATGAAAGGGTAAAATTTTATTTTAACCCCTAAACTTCATATAAAATTTTAATTATAAACTTTTTTTTGTAAATCTAAAATAGTTTAAGGATAAATTTGTAATTTAACCTTCGTAGAATTTTTATTATTCAATGACAGAAGAAATATATTTTTGAAAGAAAAAAAATTAAAGGCATTTTAGTCCAAAACGCCGGTAATCCAACAATACCTAAGGAAAGGAAGGTAATGACATTTCTTGTAATATATCCCAAAAAATCTACTATTTATAATCTTACATTACCGGAAATAGGATTTTCGATCTAACTAAACGGGAATGTGAATTCCATTATCATGAGAATCTCACATTCCCTCATCCAAACACCTTAAGGGTAGCCTAAATATTCTGTCGGTGAATTACCATCCAAGCATCCAATTACGGCCGCCCAATTGTCTATAAATCCCTTCTACAAGACTGATGGGTTTGTAATCATCCAACGACGACGGATTCAACTTGCCACAGTTGTAAAAATCTTCAAAAAATTGCAACACAACATCCTTTGAATCTGACCAGAACTTCTTTAAAAAATTAAGGTTAAAATCGTCGGGTCCTAGGGCTCGGTTCCTATCAGAATTCTTAAGAACTTGGAAAATTTCCTGTTCGAAAAACATGACTCTCCAGTGCTCTTGATCCGAGCTTACCTCCAAAGTGAATTTAGCAATGTAAGCCTCTTGGAAGTGCTACTGTATAGCTTGTTTAAATAAGACAAAATCAATCTTGAGAAAATAAATAAAAATAAATAAACTTTTTAGATGATAAGATAAAAATAAATGAAAATAAAATACTTTTTTTTTATTTTGATTTATCGATCGGAATCAGTTGAGGCTTGTTGTTGCACAGTTTTCTTAAGACAGATTTTTGATCACTCCTTTGGTGCTCGAGTTCTGCTCGAGTTCATTGGTCATATGTCTCCCAGGATACAACAACTAATGATCACTTACAGTAGCACATCTATACAGATCACGAACAATCCTTGCCTTCAACTATCACCGAAAAATCTGAAGAAGATAATTTTTTCAAGATAAGAGAAATTCTTGAAAATTTGAGTTGTGAGGTATTTTGAGATGTTTTAACTTGTGTTTAACCGAACAAATTAACTCACTATTTATAAGGTATTTTCAAGAGATATTTAATCTAACCAAATATATTTTAATATTCAACATTAAACCGATAATAATATATTTTAATTTGAAATATTAAAATGATAAAACTTCTTTTACCATTCAAACTTAAATACGTATTATTTTATATATTTTAATTTGAAATATTAAAATGATAAAACTTCTTTTACCATTCAAACTTAAATACGTATTATTTTAATTTAAAATATATAAAAATATATAATTTTCTTTAATATTCAAAGTTAGAAAGATAACAAATATCTTTTTAAATAAATTAATTATCCTACTAATATTTAAATTAAGTAATATATTTAATTTACAATGGTAAAAGTTATTCAGAAAAAGAAGAACGCGAAGAACATGTTGAGAGAACTTTGTTTTTGAAGTTTGGCCTTTATACTGACCCAGTGACCTGTTCGGAGCCCCCAAAAACCGCGCGTTTTTAATGTGTAGGATCAAATTACGTTCTCAGTCCCTTCATCTCTTTTTGAAAATTCATTTAAGTCCTTTTCGCTTTATTTTATTATGATTTATTTTTTCAGATTTTCCCCAAAACTCTGTATTTATTCTAATTTCGTCCTTTTTAAACTCTTTTCACTCATCTAATTAGGTTTAAGGTTATGTCTCTTTTACGTGATTTTAATTTTCATTTGTAGTCGTTTTAAAAATTTTAATTTATTTTCCTATTTCCTAAAATTTTGCAATTTATTTTGATTTAACTTTTTTTTTGGTCAAACTTTGCTTCGTTATAAACTTTCTTTCCTTACCAACGAAGGTTGGCCTGAGTGGAAGGGGCTCTGGTCGCTTAAGCAAGTGGTCTCAAGTTCGAGCCCTTGTGGATACAGAAAACCTTCTTGGGAGAGGTTCCCACCTTTCGTGCCCGACAGTACCTCGGAGGATTAGTCTCAGGCGAAGCCTGGGGACACCTTGGGATACAAAAAAAAAAAAACTTTCTTTCCTTTACTGTTCTCATCCCCCCAATATTTTAGGATCAATTTTTTATAATTCAATTACTTCTTCAGTTGCCTTTTCCTTCTTTATTCTATTTTTTTATAGAACTTTTCATTTAATTTTAATTTAGTTGCTTTACGTGACTTACACCCATTGATTAGCACTTTTCCTTCTTCATCTTCTCTATTTATGTTATTTATGCGGTTTCATTTGATCTGAAGTATTCATTGACGATATATGCACTTAGCTTCTTGCTGCTTCTGGCGGCGTAATTAGAGAACATGCAGGTCTTTGGCTGGTTGGTTTTTCTCTCAATATAGGGGTATGTTCCGTCATCGAGTCTGAGTCGTGGGTTGCATATGCTGGTTTGAATCGGGCTCGGGAGCTGGGACTTGGCCGAATCATGCTTGAGATGGACAGCCAAGAGGCAGTTAGGATGATACTATTGCCGACCACTGTGCCATACTTCATGGTGTTTGAAGATTATTAGCAAGAGAGTGGGAAGTCCGAATCACCCATGTTTTTCAAGAAGAGGAATAGGACGGCTGATGCTATTACAGAGCTGGCTTTCATTCCAATTAGCAGCTACATCCTCTGGCAACCTCCGGAGTCCAGATGAAACACTGACCACGGTGCATGATGATTTAGAGGGTTGCTGTGCCGAGGATGATCAAATTGCTCGAATCAGGAATACGATGAGCCCGAGTTCTGAACCAGTGAGTCTAGAAATGGTGTTAAGGTGAACCATTGAGTTGCTGTGCCCTTCTCGAGTCGGGATCCTGGTTTTGTCCCCGACTACGCATAATGTCATACGGATAAAAAATGAAAATATCGAGTAAAACATAAAATATAAGCACAAAAAACTGGTTTTCATTAACCTATAGGTTAATACAACAAATGAATGAAATGGTAAACAGTGTTTTAGTATACAATTAATTTGGAAGATTGGTATCACCATATACAACTATCAGCTAACCCAGGATTCTTCGGCCTCGGCCTCGCCCTGCAAAATTTATTTGTCTGTATGTATATGTTAATTGTAATCTTCCAAAACAAGTTACTCTCATTATTACTTTCTTGACCGGGAAGCAAACATCGCCGTCGAATTTACCTCGCGGGCTACGTCGTCTTAGCCTGTTCATCACGATATAGACATCGGAATTAAAATCAGGACATGGTAAAATTGATTGATCCCGTGAGAACAGAAGTTAAACCATACCGTTTACTTTTTTCAGATATTTTATGGAGTTTGATTGCCTCGTTACAAGCTTTCTTGGCATCCAAGCTTCCGGTTATGTCATTCAAAATCTGGTACGCATTCGAACACGGTTATAAGAATTCGATTCTGTGTATAGAATGTTTCCGTATTCGGAACTCACCTTAACAACATCGTCGAGGCCCCGAGCTTCGTGGAGTAGCTTGGTGCTCTTATCTTTCAAGACACTTGCAACAAGGAAAACAGAAATCGGGAGGGGAGCTTCCTCGCTTTTTATTTTCATGTTTTCTCTCTCGAACTTCCCGTAATGACGCATCGATCTTGATCTCATTTTAGCTTCCTCCATACTTAATGTTGGTTCTTCATATAGGTAGAACAAATCCGGATCGTATTCTAGAGCCCACATCATCTGTTCCAATTCAATCCAAACTAAATTTATGAGTAAAAAACGCCCGGGTTATGCTAACCTCATGCTCGGCTATTCGATATGTGTTCGGACATCAGTATCGTACCTCCCCACAGATACAGCGAATCACAAAATGAGAACTCTCGACGAAACAAAACCATCAGCATTCGAACAGCAAACAGATAGTCACCCCCACCCAGTGTCTCTGTAAAGCAAATATGAGAAGATCAGCAAAATATGTTCGGCATCCGGATACTCCTACCCGAGTTCGAGTAACGTAACAATGTAGAACACTAGAGAATGAATCGATATAACTTCCGTTTCGTACCTAAGTGCTGATGAAGTTTCGGATCGATTACTTGAGTTACCATAGCCAAATGACTAAGCTGTGACTCTACCCCAACAGAGCTTTCAGTGCATTTGAAGTTCCCCCTCTGTAAGAAGTGAAATAAACACGTACAAAAAGAAAACAGCACGGACAACGGTAAAATCGAAAGAATCGGAAAACACATGCAACGATGAGTACCCGTATCCATCACATATTCAAACATACATATGCCAGATACATACCAATCTGCGCATCAGACGTTCGAAGCACCAAAATGCATCGGCTTCGTTTTTTAGAAGAATTATCATGGGGGAGCATATATCACTCATCCCTGGTCAACATTGTTTATGAAGCAATCAAACATTCCATAAAACTATATAATCATCACTTCCCAAACAAAAAAACTCGACGAAATTCGATACTTACCTTGACAATATCCAACATCTGTATCGATCCAGGCATAAACAACGAGAATATCCCAAAGTTTCGCTAAATTCTCTTGCTTTTCATAGAATATTAAACTCCGGTCGGTTCGTTTAACGTCAAGACCTAATGAAACAAGATCCTCATTAGATACATATCCGGATTCGACATTCATCCCGAGTTGAATTAACGAATCATCGGGATACCTATTTGATGTAATAAGAGCAGCCAGTTGATTATTCTCTTATCCAAAGGACCATTACTGATTAGATCATTCACAATTTCTGTACTATTAGGAGTTGCTGCTTCAGCTGAATGATAATTAATCACACATTAGTAACTGGTTTATTTCATTTTCAACAAAAACAAATTATGTTAGACCAGTAACTGGCCTGCATTATGTGCCTCTTGAAGCACTAGAGGTTCTTCAATCGGCTGACCATCTTCGGTTATTACAGGCGCGGTAATAAATTCACCACTTCCGACAACCGGAAAGATTTCGTGACATACAATCTTCCATTTTTCATATTGCTCCCTGAGATATACATGCGACTCGAGTTTAAGTCTCGACTTGTATGTCGTTACAGATACTTATAATTCTCCGATATAAGATCGGTTGCCGGTAAGAGAGCTAACCTTCGTTCCTCCCGGAGCTGCTCCCTTTCTTCGTATGTACTCCTCGGATCGAAACAGCCTAGTAGGAACTCCCAGACTTCTCCTCTAATTGTTGGATGGATCCCCTATGAATATATGCATTTAAACAAACATAAACAGAACATATATATATATATATATATTATTGATGCATTTGATTTTGCAGGTAATTGGTCACCGAATTCAACACAATATAAGAGCTTTAGAGTTCGAATCTCGACGACGACCGATACGAGCACTCACCCCACGGTGGATTCGACCTAGTGTTTGGCCGATATCCAGCTGCCCGTCCGGAGAAAATGCAGCTTTCCATTTCCTTACACTTAGAGTTTTACCAGGCTGCACAAGCAAAATAAAAATGAAATCTCCATTTTATTGAATCAAAGCACCATTATTGTCATATATATGCATATATTCAAGATCGAATCTCAAAATCAAAAGAACCCCGTCACATCAAAACATGCTTCATTTCCAGCATTGTCTTAACCATTGATCCAAGTTTTCGTTTATATATACATATACATATATATATGTGTGTGTATGTATGAATTTGAATGAAGACAAACCCTGATCTTGAATTTGGTTCCAGGCACATCGGTGCATTCAGGCCGGACCTCATAATAAGAATCCGCAGGTTCTGCAGGAGCCCCCCACATTTAACAACAAACTTCCCTTTATGAACCCAGAAAAGGAAAATCTTTGCTCTTGTTTTGAGCAGCAAACAGCACCAAAAAGCTGGAGCTTTCAATGAGAAATCAAAGGAAAATGTAGGGGAAAACTTAGAAAGCTCAGCCAAGATATTCAAAACAGCAAATAAAAGGAGAGGAGGAGAGTATATGTTGCTTTGGGGTTTCTTTTTATTTCAGGGAAAAAAACTATTTTTTTATTATTTTCTGGTTAATTATGGTTTTTTTCTGCCATTGTTGTATCTCACAAAACATAAGGGGACGTGACAGAGACAAATGGTAAACAAACAATCAGCCGTTTTATTCGTTAATTTCACTGGCTTTGCTTCTCCTGTCTGTCTTCCAACTCTTTTATCTAAATTTAACAGCAATGGCATAATTTGACAAAGACAAAGAAGATTCGGTAAATTACATGTTTAGTACTTAAATATTAGTTTTGATTTGTTTTAGTACCTAAACTTAATTATTTTTTATTTTTCATTCATTAAATTTTTCATCATCATCATTCATTGTCTAAATTTTTCATTATTTTTTACCAATTTGTCAGCTTGGAATAAAGCAAGGGTCTTAAATAAGAGTCCAGTATACTTAATTCTCTTTATTCATCACATCTCAATGACGATAAATATAATTATAAATAGGGATGGTAATATGACCCGAACCCGACGGGGAAACCCGAAACCTGGTCAAGTTCGGGTCGGATTGAATGATATCGGGTCGGGTTCGGGTTCGAGGATATTTTTCGGAGATTTGTTCGGGTCGGGTTCAGGGAAAGGTATCCCCGACCTGCCCTGATTATATATATATATATAATATTTTTTATTTTTTATATTAATTATATATATAATATTTTATATATTTTATATTAATTATATATAAAATATTTTCGGGTTCAGGTTCGGGTATAATATTTAGGGTCGGGTTCGGGGACGGGGCAAAAAAAATCCCCGACGGGGCGCCCCGATAAAAAATCCGTCGGGGATCAGGTCGGGATTGGGGACGAGAATTCATTTCGGATTCGGGGACGGGGCGAGCAAAACCCGCCCCGAACCCGACCTGTTGCCCTTCCTAATTATAAATCGTTATATGTACCATCACAACAAATATAATTATATAATTATGAAATATTTAAATAATTATCATAACTTGTAAATATCATTAAATTAAGTGGAACGAAAATGAATCCATCAAATAATAGTCTGACTAGGGGAGAATAGTTCTTTTTAGAAGTTATGAGTTCAAAAGATGCCTCTGTAAAGTGTGTTTCAATAGTTAAGAAAGACTATGAACAATTATTATCTTTTTAGTGAAAAAGAGATCACCGTGTGCCTCATCAAATAATCCCTTAAACCTGACAAAATAACTGAGTAAATGATGTGGGAAAAAAATCTCAATATAATCCACCCGGGGATTATTTCCACATCTAGGGTGAATTGCACAGTACCAACCTAAAGATGTCAGGTGCTCCATGCGTCTTCAAGCTAAATATGAAGACTTCATGATTGCATGGCGTCTTCAGACAAATGAAGAAGACCCCACGACTGCATGACGTCTTCAGACAAATGGAGAAGACCCTAGGAGTGAATGGCGTCTTCAGACTAATAAGAAGCCCTAATTCAGGAAATAATATGGTGAATGTCTTATATGGGAAAATCATTTTTCCCACAACCCTCTATAGACGAGGAAGCCCCTTAAACCTAATCGGAGGAAAAGAATACACGTAACAAGAAATCCCAACAAATATACTTTAACCAACAATCGAATAAGGGGGAACATCGAACGTCATTGGAGATCACCAACATTAGCCAATTTAACTAATCCATCCATGCTAAGTTACCCTCTCTCGCAACGTACTCAGTTTTCACCACCCATGCACGTTATTCTATGATAGCGAATAACACCGCCACAAGCTGCATGCCCCGTTATTCTAGTTGCTAACGTAGTACGGGTGATCTCTTTCAGCTGCAAGCTCCTCCTCTCCCACACTGAACGACAATCATCCAACGACGAATCAAATGTACCACCCAAATGACGCATTGTCGCCTCTATTACTTGAATATTATCATGCAATAAGAAATTATAAAATAAAAGACTAACCGACTTCAGAAAGTTGATGTAGCATCGGTGGAAGTTCTTAAACTCTCTATTATGTTTTAAGAGTAAAAAACATCATTTCTCATTGAATTTTTCTTCATCTCATATTTTATTTATTGTATTTTTAATATTTTTAATTTATTCAGTGAAATTTAGAATTGCTATTGTTTTTATCATTGTGAATTATTTTATTATTATTTTATATGACATGATATTTTTTATTATTATTTAATACACAAATAATTTAAAATATCAAATAAAAATAGAATGTGGTCAGACACCACCATCGTAGATGGTGGTTATTCGGTCTCAAATTTCATAGGTCGATTTGCCTCAACCAGTGAGTCCGAACTTGGCGGCGGTTGCACTAAAAAGTATCCTAAAATTCGTGAATCTCGACTGAAACATTTAGGCTTTCTCATTTCCGATCTCCAATTCGTGGACTTTGAAGCAAGTTCCGACAAAATGAAGGTCTGATTCGTACTCAGGGTGTTGAGGCGAAGCAACCCATGAAATGTGGGATCAGATGACCACCATCTACGATGATCGACGATGACGCTTGACACCTTTTGTTTTTTTTTTATATTTTGAATCATTAATAATAAAAAAAATGTCAAGTCATAAAAAAATAATAATAAAATAATTTAAAAGAGAAATAATCTGAAAGTTCAGTGAATAAATTAAAAAATTTGAAAATACAATGAGTGAAATAAGAGAGAGAATAAAGTTAAGTGAGGAATGATATAATTTACCCTAATTTTAAAATGGAGGACCTTTTCAAGAGAAATGAAACCTTCAATTGACAAAGAAAAACTTTAGGATTTAGACTTTGATTTAAATAGCTTAAGAAAGTTTCTCCATAGCTTAATTTTTCAAAGTTTTCACCGCCTTGTTATTCTCTCTAAACTCCAAGTAAGAACTTTCCATAAAATCCTCTTTCCTTTCCATTTTACCTTTGGTATTTTCTCCTTATAAATAGGAACGTAGTAGCTTGAAGTTTGTAAATTCATTGTTTTTTTTCTGGTGAAAGGAAAAGGGAAGAAAAAAAAGTTGGGTTTACAGGTATTTTTAATTTGATTTCAGAGTTTCTATCTTTGTTTGTCGTTTCTTGATCTTAAAAACTTTAAAGTTCAAGTTTTTAGCAAATTCCCAGCTTGAATTTGATCAGAAATTTCGAGAAACAAAATGAGTTTCGGCATCAAGCAATCAGCTTTAACCATGGATTTTCCAGCTCAGTTGTTCACAAAAGAACTCCTTCCATTAGATCTTCGTTTTCACCATCTTTAAACCTTCAAAACAACACCAACAAAAGAGCCATATTTCAGTGTCAAAGCCTTTGCACATCTCATCCATCGAGAGTTGTTGTTTTTCATAAGGAGAAAACACCGGCGATCCATTACAAGGCGTATGAAGCTGACAAGTCACCGTCGGCGGCGGTGGGGGCCGAAGGTAAATCGGAAACCGCCCAGAGAGTGAAAATTGGGATTATTTTGCAACTTGGTGGGCTTTGAATGTGGTTTTCAATATCTACAACAAGAAGGTTTTGAATGTTTATCCTTTCCCTTGGTTAACTTCAACTCTGTCCCTTGCCTGTGGTTCTTTGATGATGTTGGTTTTGGGCCCAAAGGATTGCCGAGCCCCCGAAAATCGATATTGAGTTCTGGAAGGCTATGTTTCCGGTGAGATTTTCCCACTTTTGTTGTTTGGTTGGTGAGAAAGTGAAAGAAATCATAGGAATTCATATCATATCAAATAGTCTGTGATTCAGTTTCTGGTGATGTTCTTGTTTCTGAGAAATTAAGATGTCAAATTCTAATGTATGTTCTTTGGTTTCATTTTTCCTAGGTTGCTGCGGCACATACCATTGGACATGTTGCAGCTACTGTGAGCATGTCTAAGGTTGCAATTTCATTCACTCACATCATTAAAAGCAGTGAACCGGCGTTCAGTGTCATTGTCGAGGTTCTTGCTCGGCGAGACCTTCCCTCCGGCGGTTTACCTGTCCCTTCTTCCTATCATCGGCGGTTGCGGTCTTGCTGCCTTAACCGACTCAACTTCAATATGACCGTAAAGAACATTAGTTACCATGGTGTCTTGTTTATGATGCTTGAAGATCCTTACTTGGGTTGAGCTTGTACTTTTACTCGATTTGTTTTTGAGGTTATGGCCAGCCGGAGTGGTGAACTCGGTGGTTCTTCGTCGTGTATTTTCAGGTTTTATGGGAGCTATGATATCAAACTTGGCGTTCGTCTTCCGTAACATATTCTCGAAGAAGGGCATGAAGGGGAATGCTGTTAGTGGGATGAATTACTACGCCTGTTTGTGTATGCTGTCGCTTGTAATTCTCACACCTTTCGCAATCGCCGTGGAGGGACCGCACATGTGGGCAGCAGGATGGAAAGAGGCCGTATCTAATCGGACCACAGTTCATCTGGTAATAACATAACCGTACTAAGTCGTAATTATCGTGTAGATTTATTTGTTGGACTTCGATGAACTTTCGGAATTTCTCTTGCTGGTAGGTTAGAATTAAAGGATTTTAGAGGCCCCATTGCCTATGTGACAGAAAAAACATATTGGGAGATTCAAGTTGTTGAATTCTGGTTCATGATGTCAATTCGTATTGCTTATTGATTCTGTTCGATCGATGTTTACTGAACTTCGTGGTTACTTTTTGAGTTCGATTAACGATCCAGACAGGGACTCGTAACATGAGCATTAGATGATATCGGTGTTATCTTTATTCCGTGCCGGTTTCGGTACTCTTTTGGATCTAATCGTAACGGTATGTGCTAACAAACATTGTCGATATATTCATATGGTAGGTGGTGGCTGCCAGAGTATTTTCTATCATCTATACAACCAGGTCTCATACATGTCCCTCGATCAGATCTCTCCCTTGACGTTTAGCATCGGCAACACCATGAAACGTATCGGTTATAGTCTCGTCGATCATCATCTTCCACACGCCTGTCCAGCCGATCAATGCTCTCGGAGCAGCCATTGCTATCCTAGGACCTTCTTGTATTCCCGGGTGAGTGATTGTCGTAAATTATGAACGACGATGCATTCTCGTTACATTGCTGCCTGTTCATGCCTTTGATGGAGATACTTTCGACATGTTCTGTATTCTTTCTTAAATCATTCAAAATATGCTCGGTCTTCGATCATTTCACTGTCCCAATCTCATAAGCTCTCTCTTTTGCAGGCAAAAGCATGAGAGATACTGGTTTAAAGAATTTCGATTCATCGAATAACATAAACGAAAGAGATAGCTCTGAAGAGATCGTAGTTCACTGTCTTCGGCGAACCATGATGGCCGGATTTCGGTAGAAAAGGATGCCGGCAGGCGGCTTATCATTATGTTAAGGGATTAGGCAGGTTTTTTTTTGCTTTGTTTTTCTAATTCAGGCTTGATGGAAACATGTTCCAGCAGACATGAATAACAGAGCCAATACATATAATATTCTTTAAGATTGAGCTGCCATTGATGCTTAGCTTATGGTAGACATCGAAAATCTGCTGTCGATATATAAAACGACCCGACTGCAATCGCAATTCGAAACGCCTTTACCAATTAAAAACTATCAGGGTTAAAGCAAATGGAGCCAAGACTTTTGTGTCATGATGTTCCTCGATGCTCTTGTGTGATGACCTTCTTGTTAGTGTCTCATCCGATATGCAACAAACAGTTCATTTCGGTCTCCTTGCAAAGGAAGACATCCCAAAATCATGAACAAAATGTCTGATACATATGCTCAAGAATGAAGGAAAATCAACAGCTGATCTATGGGAAACGGGAAACCTACCTCCACCCGGAAGCAACCGAATCGTAGTTGGTCCCTTGTGAGGGAACGAGGAACAATGTCTCATGATGTTTTGTTTTCTTCATCTCTGTCCGAACTCCATTGAATCAGATAGCCCAAAATAACTTAAATCACATCTGCTAACACAGAAACTAACAGATAATTTTCACATTTGTTGACAACTTCTCGTTGTCATAAATTCTTCAAGCAAAATGGTCATACAGTGTTGTTTTTCATTGTCTATGCAATATAAGCTTCACATTTCTGATCAGACACTATCTGGTCACAAAAAAAACCTTAATTCTAACTATTTTTCTGCAATGTCTATTCTGGGATCGGATACTTACAAGAGAACGTGTAAAGAAGTAATGCGCCGATATGATGCTGCAAGAACGTTAGATCTAATGACTCTATAGCATATGTGCGCATAAAACCAGTTTTGTTGTAAAAGTCTTCACTTCTTCAGCTTAGCGAACCCTTTTTCAAGCCTGCAAATCCGAGTTTCGTGCTCAAGACTAAGGGTGAAAAGATCAGTAGTGTCAACGCCTTTGTCCATCTTTGATATCTGGTTGCTCTTGACATCATCTGTGACCAATCCTTTTGATTCTTCGATTGAATTTGCATTCTTTGTGACATCGGCATCCTGTTTCGGTTCACATTTGGTCTTCTCAATATCTTCTTTATGTGTGACTGCCATGATCGTTGACATGTTTTGACATTCACCGACCGATAAACGTTTACAGATATTGTCCAAGGTTTTGTACTTTTTAGCTTCATCAGAACTTTCTGCGTCAACTGCGTATTGTTTCGTATTTGCTTTCATCTCTGCAAGTGCTTCAACTTCATTAGTTGAGCATGGTTGCCTTTGAGCACCTAGGGGAGACTCACTCGCACCACTTGTTACCATGTTTTCACTGTTATGCTAAGCACAAATCAACAATTCTCTTATCGTTAATCGATCTTCCACGTCGGCATCCGGAACAGAATCCCCTGCTTCCACCTCTTCATCTTCCTTTCCTTGCTCGAATTTCCTTTGCAACCTTTCCCTTCCTGAAACATCATGTTTCTTCGATTCCTAGGCACCTTAAGAAATGGCTTGATAGCATCACGATGAGCCACCACTGATTGCTTCCACCAATGCCAGTACTGTGAAGTAACATCCGATTCGAAAAGCCTTGGCGGTACATACAACGCTGCATCTCGAATCAGTCTGCTGTAATTTCTCTAAGCAATATCAGTGTTTTCATTGCATCTAGCAAAACATTCAGGAAGATCTTGATCCATTCCGAACTGCATCGAAACCCGATGTGGGAGATACTGCTCTATGCTGCCTAGTCCAACAGCTCACTGCCCCTCAAACATCTAGCAAACGAATGAATCTCGTCGTCTAAAACAAACACGAGAATCGATCAACACATGTTGTTCCTCATCACCATAAAACTTTGACAAAGGCCAACATCAATTGACATAACATAGGGCCGCCATTGAAACTTCCTCCTGCAGACTCCATAGCTAGCTTCACATCAGGAACATTCACCTTAAGCCTGTTCCATCCGCTACCCTCGGCTCACCACGCGAGATCGAATTAGGCCTCGGACGCAACCCTGGAAACCTATCCCAAACCAAACCTGCACTAACTGAAAGTGTGATAAAGATTAACCAACCCATTACCTTTGCGCCACAATCGAGCCACAGAATCAATCCTTCAACGATTCAAGTCCCTATATAAACTAGACAAAACAGCCGGTGCAAGAGCAACTCGGTGAAATATTATAACATATATATACAATCAATAAAAATAATAAAAAGATGTATTTCCAATCAAAAAATGGTAAAACTAAACTTAATTATATTATATAACTCAATGAAATATATTAATTAATTTAATTATATAAAGTTATAAACATTAATATAACTTTTAAATATAAAACTAAACTTTTCTATTTCGGCCCAACTCAACTCAATTACATGTATACCTCTGCCTTTTTGTAAGCAGATTGAAACCGACGACCAACATATAGTAAAACATATGCAACTAAGAAGATAACACAAGTATTGCATTCTACTTCTCCGGGGAAGAGAACATCAGAAAAGAATCCGAAACCGCAGACCGAGTACTGTAAGAAGTTAAGCTTGTATCCATGGCTGAAGCAATACTTTTCAGTACAGAATAGGATATGACTTGGTAACTAGATATATGGGTGGGAAACTAGTTCAAAACCGTTCTAATTGGTTAAGGATCAAGGATCTTTCTTCAAACCAATTCTTTTCGTCGAATTAAAGATCTATGTATCACAAATATGAATCCGATTCACTCGGCTTTAAAGAAGAAATACAGTCTGTTATGCTGGCTGCGGCCGATAAAGACGGCGTGTAAAATCCTTGGCAGACTTTGGCAGCAAACAAGATTAACCTGGAAAGAAAAACCTGCATATATGTAGCACCTACAGTTAATGGCCCAAACCTGTATGACATTTTAGCTGTTTTTGAAGATGAAGCTTTTCCCGAAGCCAGTGAAACCGAAATCGAATCCTGTGTTGCATGTGGTTCTGCCAGCCATGCCTCGAAATTTCACACGGCGAGTCGAAATGAGTATGAAAACAAAGGAAGCTTTCTGAGACATTCAAATGCAAACGTAGAGAAAGAAGACGAGAGTGGATGGGAAACTGAAGGCCATCTCGAGTACCCGAGGTCGAGCTGCTCACCAGGGGCAGATAATGAATTCGGATATACCTCAAGCACAGGAATTAGCAGAGTGTGTTCTTTGCCTGATAGACAGTTGAAGAAGGTTTCTTCCATGGCAGGGCTTTGGAGATCACGCCAAAAGAAAGTCGAAAACTAAAAAAACGATCTTGGTAGAAGGAACGAACGGCAGGCTTTCAAGTGGAAGGAAGTTAAATTGGGGCATTATGTCCCCGGATCAAGAGTCCATTAACAGTGGTTTCAGTCTCTCGGAAATGGTGGGACGTTGGAGTCACCCGACTCTACTCATCCACTAACGAAACGTGCAGCGGATCGTCCTGCGGTACGCAGACAACTAGTTTGAAGGCGAAGCTTTCGGAGGCGAGAACCGAAACTCAGAAGGTCTAACTACGACATGTTCTTAAACAGAAGATTTAGAAGTAGATGGTGATTCGAACAGGTTAGCTTCTGCCATTTGTAATGTATCCCAAGGATCCGAAGATGTAGAGGAATACAAGTTCAAGGTAACAGAATTAAGAACTTAAGATATTATCAATTTACTTAATGTAAAAAAAAATTCAAATTATACTCAAAATAACTTTGATGCTCATAGAGTTTTTTTTATATTAAAAATAGGTACCTAATATTCTCTTTAAAATAATTTTAAGTACTCAATGATAAAAAATCCAAATGACATGTCACGTTCATATTTTAAAAAAATATTTTTAAATAATATTTTATTTTTAACAAATTAAAAAATATAAATATAACACATATCACTTACAGTTTACTCTAACAATAGGCACATAAAAAAATAAAGGATAAAACATTAGAAATATATTTTTAACAAAATATTATTTAGACGTCAAAAATTAATTTTGCCTATAATTTGGGCACTTAATTTTGTATTTAGCGTTATCAATTTGAATTTACAAATAACATCACAAGATATGAGGGATCAAAATATGCCAAATTAAAGTTGAAGGATCAAATTTTAAATTTTAGTATATTAAAAATGAATAAAAGCAAATTAGACCTAACGAAATAAAATAAAAAAAATTAAAACCAACCCACTAAAATAATTAATATATCAGTTTTTGTGTGAACTCTTTCTTTGATGGTGCCTTCATGTTCCCATCCCACCTATCTTCTTCCTCCCGCCGCCCTCGTCTCCCTTTCCCATTTCCTTTCTTGATTTTGCCCTTCATCTTCAATCTTCTTTTTTAATTTCTTTAGAATCTTAGTTTTCTCTGGGTCGATTTTCTCAGTTTACTTCGTTTTTCTCATCTGATTTCGATTATTTACCGATGGGGAGAGCCAGAGGTGCCGCCGTCTCCGCCGCAGCAGTGAAACCGGGAGTTGAACACAACGGATCTTTGAAAGAACCGAGGTACAGAGGTGTTAGAAAAAGGCCATGGGGAAGATTCGCCGCCGAGATAAGAGACCCATGCAAAAAGACCCGAGTTTGGCTCGGGACTTTCGACTCGGCCGAAGACGCCGCTCGAGCCTACGATGCGGCTGCGAGGTCACTCCGTGGAGCCAAAGCGAAAACGAATTTCCCCGTAGATCTCACCGATACCCCACCTTTCGTAGATGGTTTCGTTGACCGCCGTAATTTTCAAGACCCGGAAGTGAACCCACAGAGACCCGCGAGGAGTGGCATGAGCAGTACGGTGGACTCGTTCAGTGGGCCGAGACCGACGGCTGGACCGCCACAGATCTCGACAGATTTCGCGGCGGTCTCGGCTCGGAAGCGTCATCCGAGAACACCGCCTCTGGTGCCGGAGGATTGTCATAGTGACTGCGATTCGTCGTCGTCGGTCGTTGATGATGTGGATATCGGTTCGTGCCGGATAATGTTGCCTTTTGATCTCAATTTTCCACCGTTGGATGAAGCCGATGATCTCCAGTTTACTGTTCTACGCCTTTGATCACCATGATGATGATGACGACAGATTATTGAATTTTTCTTTTCTTTTTTAAAGGGAAAAAAGAGAGACGATTGATGAAACTGGGCTTAATTGGTATGGAATCTGTCTTTGATTTTTATCGCCTCATAGATCTTTGTTTTCCGAATTATGATTATGATTTAGGGTTTGTGATATCATTCATCGTATTTCAATTTATGGATTTTTCTCTAAAATTGGATTCGAAGTTAAAACCCTAATGTTCTGATTTATTATAAAAATGTGTACATAATATTTACTGTTAAAAAATCGTTAAATATTTAAAATAAATAATTAAGCTACACGTATTATATTTAGATAATATTTTATTTTAAAAATATATATACATATTGTATGTCATTTATCTATTTTTTTTAATGACAAAACTTTTGAGATAATGTTTTAGAAAAAATTAATTCACGAGATAAAACATTCTCAAGATTAATTGTTCAAATAAGGTGAAATCCACAGTGTTAGCCGTAGGTTGTCATGCCTTTCGGGCGACCTACTAGGTCGTCATGTCTTTTTGGCGAACTACAAGAGATTGTATGTGTCATGCACGTCCTAATACGCTGGGCATCTGAGGCCATCCGACCGAGGCCATCCGAAAGCATCCGAGGTCATCCGACCGAGGTCATCCGAACGAGCTATGCGAGGGCATCCGAGGGCAACCGAGCGAGCTATGCGAGGGAATCCGATGGAAGCCGAGCGAAGGTAGGTCGCCCGGAGTGCATGGCGACCTACCGGGGGCATGGCGACCTATGTGTTGGGACGTGCATGTGCCATGCAACACGTTCATTCTCTGTTTAAGCAAGGGTAGGTCGCCCAGAGTGCATGAGGTCGCCATGAGTGCATGGCGACCTACAAGGTCGCCCGGAGTACATGGAGACCTACGGCCAACACTGTGGATTTCACCCTATTTGAGCAATTAATCTTGGGAGCGTATTAGTTCGTGAATTAATTTCTTTCAGAACATTATCTCGAAAGTTTTACCATTTTTTATTGATAGATATTTAAAAGTGTAAAGGAAAAAGTATTATGTATTTGTTTAAAAAATAATTATTAAAAAGTTAATTTTAAATATAATTTAAGTATTAATTTTTATATTAAATTTTTTATATAATAATTAAAGGCTTATGAGTCTTTAATTTTTTTAAATAAAATTAATGTGGACTTCAAATTATATTTGTACTCGATAGTCTGTAAATTGGAAAAAACATAGTTTTAACTTTTGATTAAATAAATTAAAATATCAATCATTATGATATTGAAATTATATTGTATGATTTCGATATAGAAATTTATGATGAATGATGACGTGATATAAGTATTTAGTTAATTTTTAAAATATTTAAAAGTTTAATTAATTTCTTAACAGGAATTTAAAGAATTGTTTTATTTTTTAATCTACGTTAAATTTAAAGAATTATTTAAAGAGAAATTTAAAAGCTACACTAAATAAAAAATTTAGATGTTACATTATTATTATTATTATTATTATTATTTTTATTTTTAAAATTTAACGACATTAAATATCATTGAATTATATTTCAATCATTTATACTTATTTTAAATTATTCTTTCACATTTTTAAACCATACATATTTAATCTTAGTAAAGAAAAAATATAATAGTTATAATTATTTTCAAATAGTTTATATATTTAAATGGTGTATGTTTATATTTTTGTATGCGATAATATATATATATTAAAGATAATAAAAAATTAATCTAATAAAATAAAACACTAAATTCCTTAAAAAATATTATAACTTAAATTATAATATTTACTAATTATAATAATATGAAAGGGTTTAGGGGTTGAAAGAAAGAGCACTTCATTCATGCATTAAATTCAATCACAAGAGTGAAGAGAGAGCAATTCTCAGTCCTTAGTTGTGATTCAATTTAATGTGTCAATTTAAATTTCCTTTCAATAAATAAATAATAATAATTCGTGTGACATAATATATATATATATATATTTAAAAATTTTAAATTTATATTATTTGTTTAGTTTTTTAATTCTAATGTGATTATATAATATTATTTGTTTAAAATATTTTTTAAATTATTGACAACATACATATATCCAGCTCAGTTGGTAGAGCACAAAGTTCTTAACCTTAGGGTCGTAGGATCGAGTTACACGGAGGGCATTTCATAATTCGGAGATCTCCTACGGAAGCTGTTCTCGACCTAGTGTTGGGGGCAGCCTACTATCCTACCTCCCCCTTACCCTATTACATATGAGAATAAAGGTCAACTAAATTTGGTGATACAATATAAAATGAATTAAAACATAACATTTAAAAAAATTAAAAAAAATTTAATTTAATTTAAATTTAAAATAAAATTATAAATTATAAATTATAAATTATTTGAATTCTGACAGCAAGAGGAATGAATGGTGAGGATTTCAAGGAGACTTCTCAATTGTATTCATATCCATATCCTTTGCATTTTGGATCTATGATGATGGTTCATGCACTTCTCTTAATAATATACCATAATTCAAAAATATTTTTTTAAAATATTATTAAATTATTTTAAAATAATTTGTTAAACTATTAAAATTATAAAATGAATATGAAATTTAAATTTTGTTATAAAATAAATATCATGGTGTTAGTTGTTTTTACACGATGACATGATATATTAAAATTAATGGATAATATCTTATTTTGTCATTAGACTATAATTAAAATTTCATGTTAGTACTATTTTTAATATTTATAAGAAATAATTAGTAAAAACAAAAAATCCAAAATTTAATGCTTAATTTGTAAAAGGTTTAGTGTCTAAAAAGACTATTTTGAGATAGTTTAATGGTTATTTTTAATTTTGCCCTTAAAATATAATATAAAACACAAAATCATATATATATATATATATATGTTAAAATTTAGGGTAAATTACACGGATAATTATTGTACTTTGTTTTATTTCCTATTTCACTCACTTTACTTTATATCCGTTCAATTTCCACACTGAACTTAACATAATTAGTATTTTTTGTCACTCGACCATTTTCTCTCTTAACGACGTTATAAATGAACTGTTATATAGATGCAAAACAATGCCGTTTTGGTGAAAATTTTATTTTTCTAAAACAACATCGTTTTAACGCCGTTAAATATATAACAATTGAGTGACTAAAAATACTAATTATGTTAAGTTCAGTGAGAAAATTGAACGAATTTAAAATAAAGTGAGTGAAAATACAATGATGATCCATGTAATTTACCCTAAGGGTGCATTTGGTTGGGGGAATATGAGATTCACATTCCCATGAGAATGTAATCACATTCCCTCGTTTGGTTAGCCGAGAATGTCATTCCCAGTCATATTTTATTATCAATAGTAGATTTTTTGGGGTATATTATCGGGAATGTCATTACCTCTCTTCCCTTAGGTATTGTTGGATTACCGATGTTTTAGACTAAAATGCCCTTAATTTTTTTTTCCTTTTCAAAAATATCATTTTTTGTCATTGAATAATAAAAATTCTACGAATGTTAAATTACAAATTTATCCTTAAACTATTTTATATTTACAAAAAAAAAATCTATAATTAAAATTTTATATGAAGTTCAATGGTTAAAATAAAATTTTACCCTTTCATTAAACCTTTTTATATTTTCAATTTTGTAAAAAAATTATATAAATTTTATGAATTTAAATTTTTTAAAGAAAATATATAAATATTTTCAAAATTATTAAAAAACAAATATATAATAAAGATAATTTGGTTAAATATACGTTCTAATAATATTTTATTCCTTTAACCAAACACGATAATCTTACATTCTTGCTAAACCAATCAAACACAACATTCCTAGTAATCCTATTCCCTGATAATCTTTTATTCTTACTAGTAATCCTACATTTTGTAAACCAATCGCACCTAAAAGTTATTGAAAATGAGAACCAATGGATACTTTCCTTGGTGCTGCTGCTGTACTGACCTTCCATCCAGTGCGCTGATTTGTTTCGATTTTTTGAAAAAAATAATAAAAATAAGAAATGGACTGGTACGACATAGCTCATGACCTACGTTTCTGCTAAGTTTTTAATTTTGCAATAAATTACATTACAATACTAAATTATTAATAGGATAAAGTTCACAAATAATATTTGATTATAGAACGTTTTTTATTGAGTTATTTAACTATTAAAAATTAAAAAAAAATCATATGATTATAGAAAATTATTTTGTTGAGTTTCTCTATTATTAAAAGGTACAACATGGATACTGACTATTCATATTTTTCATACTCATTTTTTCCCGTTAAAATATGACGATAATATGAGCTAGACATAAACTTACTAATTGACATATGGTAAAATCATATTTTAATACTTCTGTTAATTTCAAACATCGACTCAATGATATAATATAAACGGAGAGTCGACCAAATAAAATCCCACTCAAAACAGTTCTGAAATCAAATTTTATCATATTCTAGTCTATAGGTGGAACCTCAGGGTATCAAACATGCTTCGTCTTGTCGACCCGATACGAAGTGTTTCGATATGTGTAATAGGAGCCAGATGGGGTTCATTGTTGAAATATCAAAGCATGGGCGGTTGGAAATTGGTCTAAATTAGGCACCGAATATACAATGTCAAAATTAAGTGCAACAATGGTTGAAAATTAAATGGACAAATTATAAACTTTAGTCACTAAACTTTAGGGTAATCATAAGATTAGTCCTTAAGCTTCAACTATAAATACCCTAGCTCATTTAGCTTCAAAATCATCCCAAATCATTCTAGTTTTCTCCCAATACTAGAGAATTTAGAGAGTTTTCTTGAGAGTTTTTTTTCTCCTTTTTATCAAGAGAGAATTATCATTGTTTTCTCCTTGTTAGATCAAGAGAAGTTGTAATTCCTATTTTCTCATAGTAAAATTCTTCTACCGTTGCCCGTAGTTTTTACCTTATATTATTTAGGGGTTTCCACGTAAAATTTGTGTCTTCTTTATCTTCATTTTTATTTTCGCAAATTATCAATTGCGATCTTGCTCTATCCGATAGCCGTATTCCGCAACAATTGGTATCTGAGCCAGATTTGAGTGTGTAATATCTGCTTATTGTCTTTGTGTTTGCCA